ATCGCGATCCCGGACCCCACTCCGACTCCACGTGACAAGTGAGGGGGCTGGGGCCCGGCGCCTGGGTCATCTGGGGGGGCACAAGGGGGCCGGGACCCGGCGCCTGGGTCATCTGGGGGGGGGACAAGGGGGCTGGGGTCTGGACGCCTGGGTTCTCTGTGCGCTGGGGGGGTCTGACCTCCCAGACACCTGGGTCCCACTGGCCTCTCTCTTCCCCAGGATGCAGTGCAGCCTGTGGGCTCTGGTATGGGGGGCACTGGCACTGGCGGGTGCCCCAGGGCCCGCAGACCCTCTGGTCCTGGCGCTGGATGCGGCCCCCAAGCCAGATGCGGCCCCTGTGCCGGACACAGCACTGGATGTGGCCCACGTGGCGGCGCTGGACACGGCGCTGGGCTTGCGGCTGTTCCAGGCCGTGGTGGCTGCAGCCCCTGGCAATGCGGCACTGTCGCCCACCGGTGCTGCCGCCCTCCTGCGTGCCCTGCAGCTTGTGGCCCGTGGGCCAGGCCAGGCCCAGCTCCGCACTGCCGCTGGATATGCCCCTCATGGTATGAGTTCTGTTACCCCCGGCCTGAGCTCCCCACAGAGCCCAGTTCTTATCTGGCCCAGGGCCCACCCCGGAGCCAGCCGCATCTAGAGCCTGTTCTACCCAGGCCTTGATGGCCCACTCCAGAGCCAGCCACATCCCAGCTTCATTATCGTTGGCGTTGGCGCTGCATCCAGGCTCTATTTTACCCAGCCCCTGATGCCCCACCCCAGAGTCAGCTGCACTGGAGAGCCCTGTTATACCAAGACATCAATGTCCACCCCAGAGCCAGGTGCATCTCTGCCCTGTTCTAGCTAGCCCCTGATGCTCCACCCTAGAGCCAACTGCATACGGGGGTGTCCTGTGATAACCAGCCAGTGTCCCACCCCAGAGCCAGCTGCATCCTGCCCGTTTTACCTAGCCTTAAGCCCCCATCCCCCCAGAGCCAGCCGCCACTAATCTCTCTCCCTCTCTGCAGAGCCAGGTGCGGGGCAGCTGGAGGTGGCACTGGGGGGCGCAGGGGTGGCACTGGCTGCCGGCATCTTTGTGCAGCATGACCTACCGCTGGTGCCTAGCACCACTGTCCTCGCACCCCTGCTACAGTGCGTCGACTTCCACCACCCCCCAAGTGCCCGGCGCGCCATCAACGCCTGGGCCCGCACCCACACCCACGGTGAGCTGCATGCCTGGGCCCTGGTGGGGGGTGGATACCTAGGTCTCCTGGGTGGGGGCAGGGGTGGATGCCTGGGTCCCCTGGATTGGGAGGGTCCCGGACACCTGAGTTCCTTTTGGGTGGGGGCCATGGGTTGCAGCCCGGACACCAGGGTTCTCTTGGGTCCTGGATGCCTGGGTCCCCTGGGTGGGGGTTCCCAGACACCCGAGTCCCACTGACACTGTGTGCCCACAGGCCGGATCAGGGAGCTGGTGGGCGCGGGGGTGCTGGCAGGGGGGGCTGCGCGCCTGGTGCTGGCCAACACTGTCCACGTGCGCAGTGCCTGGGCCCGGCCCTTTGACCCCCGTGCCACGTGGCCCCGCCCCTTCCATGTGCCACACCGCCCCCCCACACTCGTGCCCACCATGGCGCAGGCGGGGCGCTTCCTCCATGGTGAGTACACTTCCCCCCTACCAGATACCTGGGTTCTCTGTCAGGGAGGGGGGTGAGGATGCCTGGGCTCTTCTTCTGGGGGGGGGGTCCCAGAAACCAGGGTTCTCTCCCTATGGGGGGGGGAGGGGGACTAGGAGCCCTTGGCTCTTTTTTTGGGGGGGGTCCCAGACACCTGGGTTTCCTCTCCATGTGGGGGGGGTCCTGGATGCCTGGGTTCCCTCCCCTTGACCCCTGCTCCTTCGCAGGGGAGTTTACAACTGCCGAGGGGCTGGAGTACGAAGTGGTGGAGCTACCCTATGCCAGGGGGGGGCTGAGCCTGCTGCTGGCGGTGCCCCTGGTCCGCGACGCCCCCCTGGCACCGCTTGCCCGCACCCTCAGTGCCTCCCTGATCCGTGCCTGGACCCGGGGCCTGACCCCCCGGCCCCGCCTGCTGCTGCTGCCCAGGTCTGGGGGGTTCAGGGGCCTGGACGCCTGGGTTCTCTGGGGTGGGAGAGGGCTGCTGGGTGACAGTAGGGAAGCCCGGATGCCTGGCTTCTCTGTAGGGGAGCACAGTAGGGGGTGGGAGCAGGGGATCTGGGACCCAGGCTCCTGGGTTCCCTAGGAGGGGAGGGGGCTGGATCCCACACCCCTGGGTTCCCTGATCACTCTCCCCCCCCACAGATTCTCGCTGGAGGCCGAGTGTGACCTGCGCACCCCCTTGCGCGCTCTGGGCATTCGTGACGTCTTTAACCCCCATGCTGCCGACCTCTCCGGCCTGACCCGTGAGTGACCCCTGACCCCCGCAACCCGCGACCCCTGTCCCCTCCCTGATCTGACCCCCCAACTCTCTCCTGCAGTCGAGGAGCCGCTGTTCGTGTCCCAGGCTCTGCACAAGGTTAAGTTTGAGGTCATGGAGGGTGGCACCGAGGCGGCTGCTGGCACGGGTAAGAGCACAGGGGAACCTGGACACCTGGGTTGTTAGTGGGGGGAGATGGGGGTCTCCCCTCCCCAACCCGGCCCCTCTGACCCCCATCTCCCCCCAGCCGCCGTGTTCGTGGCCCGCATGGCACCGCCGGAGCTTGCCCTGGATCGGCCCTTCCTCTTCATCCTGCGGCACAATCCCACCGGTACGGCCCGTGGGACCCAGGCGTCTGGGTGACACCCCTGCCCCCCGGGGACCCCCCTAAATGCTGGGAGGGCACAGCTACAATAACCCCCCTGACTCTGCCTTCCTCTCCCTGCAGGTGCTGTCCTCTTTGTGGGGCAGGTCATAGACCCCTGAGTTTTTTGGGGGGGTCTTTTGTGCCCCCCCATAATGGACTGGACCCCCTGGATAACTTGGGGGGGTTAAGCCCCCCCACCACCAGGATCGATACCTCTGGTCTCCATGGGTCCGGGGTGCTCCCAGAGGCCTGCAGGAACTTTCAGCAGCATCTAGCGTCTCAGCTTGAGTTCAGCAAGAGTCAGCAAAGAGTCGGCAGGCCCTGCTGCCGAGGCTTTGGGTGTGGGATATTTCTAGCAGCACTGGGAGGCTGGGTCGGCGTGTCCTGTCCCCCTTACCACTGCCAGGGACTCCCTCTTGGCCGCAGGAGATGCTGAGTCGTGACTCAGTGGTCCTGGTGGGACTGGACCCAGCCCCCCGCCCCCGAATCAGGGCTGGGATTGCGTGTATTTATAGTGCCCCAAAGCTGGGCCTGTGGGGGCTTTGCTGCCCCTTTTTGGGGGCATTTGGGAATATTTAATGAATAAAGAGAATTCATTATTAAGGGGTCATTACTGTCAGTGCTGGGGGGGCTGGGGTGGTCTTGGAAATGGGGTGTTGGGGGTCACGGGTTTGGGGTCATGGGGTTTGGGAGGCAGGGCTTAGGGTCAGGGCAGCTGGGACTTTGGGGGCCACAGGGGGGCTGGGGGCAAGGGACTGGGCGTAGCAGGATTTGGGGGTCACGGGTCACGGGGTCGGGGCGGAAGTGCCTTGTGGCCCCCCCAGCGGTGTGCCCCCCCTTGTTGCCATGGAGACAAGCGCCCTGTTGCCATAGAGACGGCCTTTCCCGTTGCCATGGAAACAAATAACTTTTACCCCCCCCCCCACACTGTTACCATGGAAACA